AAATTAATCTTTTCTGTTACAGGTATAGGATGTGATGCAAAGGTTGCATATCAATTTCATATGAACAGGGAAGAAAACCCTGAGAAGTTTAACAGTCAGGTATGAACATGCCATTTTGAGCCTCAGTGATCTCTGAGCTGCAGTTGTTTCATAACATAATATATGAGTGTTTATTTATATGTTCTTGAGAATAACCTTTCCAATTGCTCATATATGTTCTCCGGGAAATAATATATAGAAAAACAATGGACAAAGGTTCAATGGACATCTTTGAAGATGATTGGTTTTTATTGCTTGTTGTCAATAGATTACTATGCTTTTGTTTTCTTCTGTTTTAATTAAATTCCATTTGGGAATGTACTGTCTGTGTTGTATGTGTGTCTAAACAAGCTTCTCCTACAGTTTGTAAATAAATTGCGATATGCAAGAGAAGGTGCTAGAGATATAATGGACAGAACTTGTGCAGATTTGCCATGGCAAGTATGGCTTGAAGTTGATGGGAAGGACATAGAGATCCCCAGGGTACACATTGCAAAATCTGGAAGTCAAACTGCTTCTTGCTTTCACATTTGTAATTCCTAATCGATCCCCTTATTTATAATCTATCAGGATACTGAGGGCTTAATTGTGCTAAATATTGGTAGCTATATGGGTGGAGTTGATCTGTGGCAAAATGAGTTTGAGCATGACGATGACTTCAACCACCAGTCAATGCATGACAAAATACTTGAAGTTGTTTGTGTTTCTGGAGCATGGCACCTTGGCAAGCTACAGGTATGGAGAGTTTCCTTATGCTTCCATTTCTATCTATTCATCAAGTCTGCCTCTTTCACGTTTTCCCCCTTTATTACTGCTTCAGTCTTTTTCTACTATTTAACTTCTTACAATCCTTTTCTTTTAGGTTGGACTTTCTCAAGCGAGAAGGCTAGCCCAAGGGGGGACTGTAAGGATACATGCTTCTAGTCCTTTCCCTGTCCAAATTGATGGGGAGCCTTTCATACAGCAACCGGGTTGTTTAGAAATAACGCATCATGGACAGGTACCTAAATTTCCTCGGTCGAGTTAACATAAGCCCTGACATGAAACGACAATACATTGTATAAAAATGATAAAAGCTGGTTCTAATTATTTCACAATTTGGAACCTTTTGTATGTATCTTGCCTGATTTCTGGCTAATGATAACAACAAAACAACATACCCAATGAAACCCCACAACGTGGGGTATGGGGAGGTAGAGTGTATGCATACCTTACCCCTGCCTCGTGCAGGTAGAGAGGTTGTTTCTGACTTATGATCAAGTGGATATTTCTGAAACAATAGATTTAAGAATGGCAAAACTTTTCTTTGCTTATGCAGTTTCAAGAGGACTTTACGAAAGAGTTAGGTTGTTGATACTTACCTGTCTTTATTTGTTTTAAGAGCATACAATGGTATTGGCATCTATTTATTCTTCTTTTGCACTTAAAAGACTGCATAAGGCTGAACCCATAAATTGGACTCCACAAAATGTGTTGTAAATCTAAGCTTATTCTTTTAGTTATTTAACCCAAATTGTTTTGACATTCGATAGTGGCCCAGCTCTATACGTGCTTGGTATTTTCCTGTAAACTAACCCCTGGGCGTTGTTATTTCTTTGATTGACTTAGTTATGTAAATGGTGATTGAAGATCTATCAGTATTGTTCATGAACTACAATCCAATTAATTACATTAAGTGGGTTGTGGTGTCTAAATTTCTCCTTTCTACTTGTATTTTGAGTTCAGGCATATTACACTTTTGTTTTTGATACATGTGTATAAACCTTCCTTTGAAGAGTCAATTCACAAACAATAATTTTCACTAATTCATTTAAAATGTCATAAATCTTCTGGTTGAAATTTATTATCTGCTACATAGTGTTTCATGGAAGATAATTTCCGGTTGTGTGCTTTGATCCAAAATCTTTTTGCAACTTTCAGCAAGAATGTGTCTAACTCGCTTGACTTTATTAAAAGTTGTCAAGATTCTTGCAGAGTTAATTGTCTTTCTGGGTGAAACTCAAATTGAAGGTTTCGTTGTTATTTCCAATCTGGCCTCCTAATCTTCATCCTGTACGGTTTCCAGATGTTCATGCTGAAGAAGGCATCAGGGTCCAACGAGCCTAGAGGTCACGCGGCTGCTATTATGACGGAGGTTCTAGTGGATGCTGAATGTAAAGATATCATAACTGCAGCTCAAAAGAAGGTACTTCTTCAGCAGATAGCTCTCCAGCTTTCTTGATTTTCACTTCCATAGACTGACCTCATTCAGCTCATACAAACACAAGTTTAGTCACTCATATTCTTTTCTTTTGTTTTTCTAACTCTATTTTTCTAACGGAGGGAAAACTTTTGTACACTAAAAGAGAGTGAAAGATTTTTTAGACATAGGAGATACGAGATAATATAGAAGACGTGAGTTCCAAATGTAAATTTTTGAGTATACAGTTTTCTTCTACAAATAGGGAAATCTCTTAAAGCTTTTGCAACATGAAAAATTCTTTGTTGTTATCTATTATTCATTTGTAAGAAGTATTGCACAAAGACCACTTTGATCAGGTATTGTTTTGGATGGTATGATAACAACTTAGATAGTCGATATGATTGTTCACAACATCACATACTATGGCTACTTCTTTATGATACATATGTTTGTTGTCCTTTTGGGCCGAGGGTCTGTCAGAAACAACACTTATATACACTAACCTCTCCGACCTCACTTGTGAGATTATACTGAGTATGTTATTATTGTTGTTGGCCTTCTGAGCAGAGGGTCTATCAGAAACAACCTATGTACACACTACCCTCCCCTAGCCTTATATAGAGTATGTTATTATTGTTGTTGGCCATCGTAAGTGTTACGTTGTGCTTTATAGGATATCTTGCTCTTGGAATATGTTTCACTCTTTGTTTCTTAATACTCCCTCCGTCCACAATTGTTGTCAGGGTAAGGTCATGCACATCCCTCAAAGAAAATTTAATACAAGGTGTAATTTGACTAATATAACCCTACAATACCAAGAATACCAAAAGTTCACATAACTTTTCAATTGAACTACACTATCATTAAGGACAAAATTGGAAAAAAGTGACTAATTATTTCTTGATTGTTTAAATTGACAATTAATCTTAGACATCTATTTTTAGTATATTTGCCAAACAATTGTGGACGGAGGGAGTATCTTGGTTAGGACAAAATTTTTTTATGGTATTGTGCTTGTTTCCTTAAGGAAGAAGTTACTATTAGGATATTTTGAAAACTTAGGGGTACCTTTGAGAAAGGTTTGTACAAAAAGATGGGTCCCACCATGTTATTATTTGGTTGTATCTGTTTGAGTTGCCCAAAGTTGCAACTTGAATGAATACATCATTTAATTAGTTTGTAGTACTAGGTTAAAAGTATGTACCGTATTTTATTTTATTTTTTATTATTTGGTTGTATCTGCTCAAACATTGTTATATGAAATAAAATGAAATATGTTTTTAATAGGAATTGGCAAGAATATTGTAGAAGCTTTTTTGGAAAAAGTCTAGCAAATGACGTACAAAAAAGTTTCTATTTTTGGAAACTAAAAAAATATGAAGCATACAATTGGAGCAACTTGTGTATAATGAAGACAAAAAAAATTACCCCCATCATACGTAAACGAAAAAAGCCCACCGTTGGAGCCTTATAAAAAATACTAGTAGTTTGGTTCGATCAATTATTTGAACACTAATATTTTGATTACTCAACCTTGTATAATCAAAATTCAATTGGTTTAACAATCAAAGCGTCCGAGTGACAACGTTAAGAATCAAGGTTTGAATCTGAAATAGATGGAATGTGATCTTCAAAATGCTATTGTATTCGTGTTGAATTTCTTCAATATTTTTGAGAAGTTCACGTGATTAGCTCAATTACCATTTGATTACGTTCAAATTCGACATAACTAGTATGATGTATATCTTAGACATTCAGCTTCTACTAGTATTGATAAATAACCATATGTATTTAAAAATTAATCGTAATGTTGAAATGAAAATTAATATAAAGGTCGATAAAGATTATTATAAGAATATATAGTATGTAACACCCAACAAGTGGAATATAAACGACATCATTGACACAATATTCGATGCAAAATTTCATAATATGTCCACTTGTTGTGGTTCAGAATTTCATTCATAATTAATAATTTAATAATATATGTAACAACATTTATTTATATAATATAACATCGCCAACAAAAATTTAAATATGAATCTTCATGCATGATCAAACAATGAATATCACCCAATAAATTAAAGTAGAAAGTCCTTTTTACAATATGATTTCTTAATATTATTATTATTTTATTATAATTTAGCTAATACTGCTCGCATAGCCCACTGGTTCTTACACTCTGGTTTTCTTTTTTTACTTATATATATATATCATCACTATATTATTATGTTAAATATAAAGTTCTTGTAGCTTTATCCCAAAAATCCAAATTTTCTTTTATATGCAAACCGGTATGTATTATGTACCTAAATACTTATTTGGCTTTTAATTTCTTGTTCGTCGATTGTTATTGTTATCTGTGTTTTTTTGTGCTCCGATTATATAGCCTTATTACTTCATTATTGTTACTATATTCTTTTTTTAGTGCTTTATTTCCTTATTGTTATTGCTTTCATATTTGATTTTTTTTTTTTCAAACTGTTTTAAGATGTTTTGACTTATGTCAAGGGTCTATCAGAAATAACTTCTTTCTAAGTTGCATGCACCCTAATATTCACTTTGTGATATTATACGTTATAAAATTGTTGTATTGTTGAAAAGAGAGATATTTATCCAATCTACATTAGGTACATCTTGTTACATTTCACTCTCTATAAATACTCATTCTTACTATCCCAAAGTAGCAAATTTTGATTTCTATCTAACTTTTGAGTTTCCATTACTTCATCCTTTTGATAGTCTCTATTTATATTGTAGATATATAAACCAACTCTCCATGATGAGTACTAGCAAAAATGGGCTAGAAAATGGCAAATCATTCCACAAGTTTTTCGAATCATGGCTCGTTAAACAGAATCAAGACTTGGATCAACTTGTACGTGCCTCAAAAGACAACAACAACAACAAGAACAACAATGACATGATGTTGTCACCTTTAATTCATAGTGTGGTGAAACATTATGAAGAATATTATAGAGAGAAATCGCGATACGCTAATAGTGATGTTTTAGGCATGTTGCACCCCTCATGGTTAAGTAATCTTGAAGATGCATTTTTATGGATTGGTGGATGGAGACCTAGTATGGCTTTTCATTTGTTATATTCAAAATCAGGTATACAACTTGAAGCTAATCTTCATGAGTTAATTAGAGGATTTAACACAAAAGATTTAGGAAATTTAAGTGGTAATCAACTTGTATTAATTGATGAGTTACAACATAAGACAATAAGTGAAGAAAGAAAGTTAAGTGAAAATTTAGCTAAAGTTCAAGAAAGTTTAGCTGATACATCAATGGTTGAGTTATCACATGTTGTGAGTGAATTAATGAGGGATGAATTAGTTGTTAATGATGAAGAGGAAAAAATGGAGAAAAGTATTAGTAAAAAAGAGGAAAGTTTATTGGATTTGTTGAAAAAAGCTGATGATTTAAGGTTAAGTACAATTAAAGAGATTTTAAGAATTTTGACATCAATTCAAAGTGTTCATTTCTTGATTGCTGCTGCTGAACTTCATTTGAGGATTCATGAATGGGGTAAGAAGAAAGATGCTGCTGTTTCTCATCATAAATGGTCATGTCAAACAATAAACGAAGAGCCAAATTCTGAGGGGACGTCTGTCAGAAATTAGTCATTCAGATCTATCAGAACGATACAGAGAAGATCAACATGGTACTTAATAGTTATGAATATTCTTAATTACTACTTAAGGAGCTAGCCAAATGTTATTAGTATTAATTACTAGGTAGATTGTAATAGGATGAAGTTCTTTTTTTTCGTTTCATTTTTGTTTATGTAGTGACATGATTAGTTTAAGAATTAAAAATCCTTTTTTTGACTTCTTTTCTTTAGTTCTGTTACTGATGCAGAGCTATGATAACATATTTGCTCTGAATCTTCAAAAATATTGCTAAAGTGTATGTTGAAACCGACCAACAATATTTTAGAGAGTCCGACCAACAATAGACCCTTATGTTATTGATGTCATGCATAAAGTAGGCTAGGAAGTTTAGGCAAACCATGTACTCTCTCTGTTTTATCGTATATGACGATGTTTTGATCAGGTACGAAGTTCAAGAAAAAAATGACTTTGTGAGATTAAAAAGGAGTTTGCAATCTTAAACATGTCGTGTCATTTCTATGGTTTTAAGAGCCATGTCATTAAGGGAAAAACAGAAAGTTTAAGAACGTGTCATTCTTTTCGAGACATTTAAAAAGAGAGGGTAAGACTGTCATTTTAAAAATTGTTTACTCAACTGCAATTTGCTAGTCAATTGCAAACACATGAGATGATGCATATAAAACCAGCTAATTGACATCAAGCAAACAGAATTTTTTTTTAGAAAAAAACAGAACAAGTTGAAGTTTGTCATGTAGAGTTGTCATGAGATAATTTTAAATAACAAGACTTCCTTTATTGCTCGGATTCTTCAAAAATACATTCACACGATGGCATTTTTAAAGAGTTTGAACAATATAGTCGACTTCAACTCAACAAGTATGCATTAGCCATTTGCTAAATTTCATTGAAGCATTGAACAAAACTTTAAAACTAGCAATGTTGAGTTGAGGATTTGTCATTTGATAATAATAATAATGAAGATTCAGTTACAACTGATACATAAAATTGTGCAAAAGATATAACCTAAACTCAAAACATCAACATAAAACAGCAAATCCACAACAAAACTTGAGTCCTCCATGGAGACAAAGAATCCCAAAAACCTGAAAATCAGAAAACAAAAATATCAGAACTTTGATCATTCTATCGACAATCCAACACAAGAAGAAATGCAGTAATCGTTATAATAAACACTCGAAAAAACAAGAATTTACATACTTATAGCTCATCTTTTGCTGAATCTGTTGTTACTGATTCTGGTTTAGTGGAATCAGCTTTGACAGATTCTGAGTCATGAGCAGCAGGCTTATCGCGATTCTTTTCAATAAACTCGATGATGGCTTCTTTTGTTCTATCACCTTCATACTGGGATATATTACCAGAAGCAGATTTGAAGTACAAAGTTGGGAATCCTTTAATGTCAAATTCACCTTTTGGAATGTCATTTGCAGTTGCATCCTGATTCACAACAGTATAAACAAGTAAGTATTCTTTATCATAATGACTGTATTTAAGTCCCATAATACTTACAAGTTTTGCAATCAGAACATCAGAATCCTTTTCGAATGACAAAGCTACTTCATCCAAAATTGGAGCTAGTGCCTTGCAGTGGCCACACCAAGTTGCATAGAACTCTAGCAGTACTGTTTTAGGGGGCGGAAAGCAAAAGAACGATCCAAACAAGATATTAGTTCACAGAAATGAGCATTTGTCAAAGTGCTTAACACTGACAGACGTACCATTTTTGCCCGAGTTGAGAACCAAGTCTCGGAGGGTATCCCTAACAACCACCTTCACTGGCTCGTTGTTGACCTCAGGGATCGGTTCTGATTTAAAAAATTGCTTCAATTTACCATCCTGCAACCATACAAAAAGGGAAAAAATGAGGAAATTAGCAATCCATCACTTAAATGCAGAAAACTCCTAACGAAATGATCCTCAGCTACGTTTATATGAATCCTCACTGACCATGCTTCTCCGTTTAAATTACCTTGTAATCCTTCAACCATGAAGCAAGAACATCAGGTTGTACATGTGTACTGATATACTTTTCGCCTTCATTGACCATTATAATGATCAGAGGTGCCTGTTTTGGCTCCAATCCAAAGTACTGCAATCCATATATCAAATGAAACATTAACGTGTGTCGTTATATATGATCATTTGGAAAAGCCAATATTTACTAATCAGATAGGCTGAAACAATGTTACTAACTTTGAAAGCAGCTGCACCAGCCTCAACATCTCCCAACAGAAAGCTCAATCCGTCCCCCTTGTAAGACACAGCGACATCCTTATACTTGGACTGAAAAGCATCGAGCTCAGTGCTAAAGTTCACGAAAAGCAACACCTGCATATCACAAATTCATGGTGAGTAAAATAATTAACTCTGTAAGGTATGAACATGTTATAAACTTGTCCATCGGGTACCTTTGCATTGGGAGTTTTAAAGAATTTGCTAACATAAACTTGGTTTTCTTGTTCTTGATCGAAAATAGTGACAATAGGAACAGTAGCTTCTGCAATGAACTTCTCTGCTGCATCAACATCAAAATCCTGCACGAATTCACGTTATGTATCATTCTAACTGAAGAAACAGGTCCATATCAAACCACATAATCATAAAGGGAAAGAATATACAACCTCAAAATCAACAAAAAGCTCATCGAATGGCTTAAGGAGACGAATAGTTGGCTTATCAACTGGCTTGCCCCGAGGGAGTAGTTTAGCATCAACGGTGTAAGCAAAATCATAATCAGCTCGTAGTTTCTCAGCTAATGTTATAAACTTCTCAAATTCCTCCCCGGATAGTTCAGGAAATACACCAACCTGAAAGAAATCACAAGCATTTCAACTACCAGTTGCATAGCCAGGATTTTTACTTTAACATGACAACATCTACAATATACTAAGCAATGATTGAGGCGCGATAAAAGGTAACAACACTTACAACATTGATCTTTTTCTCATCGATAAAACTAGAAACATCTTCTTTCGACTTGATTTCAACCGATGCAGGACCAGATTGTTTCTTCAAATAAGCAACGATACCATCTGCATCGCGAGGACCTTTGTATTCTTGAACGTCTTTTCCTCCGTCTCTCAAGATCTTAATAGTTGGGAAGCCTCGAAGCTCATACTTTATAGCAAGTTCTTTACTTGAATCATCACTTGCATCAAGTTTAGCTAGAACAATTGGAGGATCATGACTACTCAAAATTGAAGCAGCTTTTTCATACTGAAAAAAAGATAACATTTTTATCACAAATCATGTAACTTACAACAAACAAAAAAAGTGAAAAATGTCAAATTAATAATCTAAGCAAGTTAGTACCTCAGGAGCAAGTTTCTTGCAGTGTCCACACCTGTTACATTTAAAATGAACTTATCAGATTTCAAAAACAAATGGCTCTAAAGTAATTGGGATCTAATCTATGTTGCTCGGACTCTTCAAAAGTATAAACACATGTGTGTTCGATCATCCAAAAGCTATACATTTCTTGGAGGATCCGACAGGGGATTGGAAAATTTACAGTTGATACATCCTAAAAAAAACCTTTACACAACAAGTTTAAACACAAAATCCTCTTCAACACAAACTCAGAGGCGAATTCAGAATCTAGAGAGTTATATATATATTTTTAGCGAAAAAACAACGAGTTCAACTGAACCTCAGAGTGGTCATAACATAGAGGCAAAGGAGAATTCAAAATCTAGAGTTATACATTTTGATATGTATACATAAGTTTTTGCCAAAAAGCAATAGAACTCGCCCTAAATCCATCTCAACATAAAAAAAAAAAATCCTAAAAGTCAACAAGCAAGCAAAAAACATCCTCCACAACACATATAAACATTAAAGCGAATTCAGAATTTAAAGTTCTACATTTCAAATCTATTCACATGTATATAAACAAATTTTATAGAGAACTCGTCCTAGATTCGCCTCTGAATAAAATAAATAAATAAATAAAAAGAATTACCATGGTGCATAAAATTCAACAACAATAAAGTTGTGTTTGGTGATAGTGTCAGTGAAATTTGTATGGTCTAATGTTAACACATATTCATTCTCTTCTGCTATACAAACTGAAAAAACAATACACAAAACTACCAAAACACCACTCCACTCCATTTTCATTTTTTCACTCTTTTTATGTAATGAAATAATGTAATTTTTTATTGTTGTGACAAACTGAGGAAAATGTTGGTCTTTTTATAATGTTAAAAAAAATTGACCATGACAGTATGGGTGATGACGTGTAAACATGTGATTAGTCAAAACATGTGTCAAAAAAGAATTATAATCAAAATCTGATTTATACTCAAGTCTTCTTTCATTCTTGAGTATATTGTCAAGTTTTTACCTTTTTTGGTTTTTTTTGCTTCCTTGTGTAATATAATGTAAATATGGCAAATTATAATTATTAACATTGTAATATTAATATATATATTCATAATTTGGTCAAACATAACATAAAGTTGAATTAACTTCCTTATATTTTAGATTTGAATACATAATACAGAGATCCATTTTAATTCAATTACCTTAACTTGTTGATTATGTATATTTCCCATATTTGACTCCTTTTTTTTTTGGTGTGTGATATTTTTAAATATATAATTGACCAAAATATAAATGTTTTCTTGATAAGTCCAACGCACTTATGCTTGCCTAACTTTGGGACGCAAGCTCGAATGACTTAAAAAACTTATATGTATTTTGTTTGATATCGAACAAGAAAATTAAACAAAGCTAATATATAAATTCATATATAATTTGAATGATTGAGATGTGATTATTATAAATTATGAATCATTTTGTTTATTTTAGAAAAAATGATTCTGATGTGTATTCTTACGTATATATTAAAGTGTTTTTCAGACATTTCAATCTGTTTTTATATCATTTTTACAAGCCAAGATTTAGTTAGTTCTTATAATATTTTCAATTCTGAGTACTGTCTTGCTAATAATTCATAAAAAATAATAATTAAAAATACATTTACT